TGTGTATATACAATTTTCTCTCGCTTTATACAAAACAGAAACAGAATTATACACTTCTGTGTATAAAGCGAGAGAGGCGAGCGAGATTTTTGGGAGAGAGACGCTGGCAAATTTTAGCTTATGTTTGCTATAGAGCACAATTAAATCAAACCCTAGCTATTCCATTTAATTTAGGTTATTAGTTTGCTATTATATACAATTTTTCCTTAAAAAAAACTAAAACTCAAATTTAAAGAGAAGTGCTAAATTTATCTTTAAACTATGCGAAACGTTCAGATTTTTACGATTGTTTTTTTAAAAAAATCAATCTTTAATTAGAAGACATAAGCCTCTTTTGAATATAAAGAGTAAAAATACATTTTAATAACTACTAGAATATATTTGACTTTAATTATTAACCAGGATAAATTCATTTTGTTTTACCTAATTCAAAAAATAAATTTGACCCAATATTCTTATGTAAGCAAGCAACATAGTATTAAGACAAAATAAAATGTTTATATATTTCCTTTCTTTCTTGACCACCTCCTCAATTTTTTTTTTATATATATTTTTTTTTCATTTCTTATCTTTAGCTTTATCAATAAGATATATTTTTGAATTATTAAATATTTTTCTAGTGGAAAAGATGAAATGTCCATCCAAATAATGCCACTATGATTGTGAAATATTCATGACTTTTTAACTAAATACCCAAAATTATAATGTGCTTTTAACATGGTCTTAAAAAAGGACCACTTATTTTTGTCATTGCCTAACCCCAAATAAAAAGGCAATAACAACAAATAAAGAAAATGATGGAACCATTTTAATTTGGAAAATTAGTGGACTGAGATATTTGACTAAGCTTATAAACTGATGAAATCGTATTATTGCGTGTAAAGAATGTAATATATTTGGTTTATTTATATTTATTCGTTAAAAGAAATTATGGACCTTTTGAATTGATAATAATCTCAACGTAAATTAAACTAATTTTTGATAAATAAAAGAAAAAAATTGTTTCTTTAAGAGTAACATATATTACAAAGTACATTATATTGAATAACATGTTCATCTCAAATCAATGAAGGCAAGAAACATATTTTTTTTTATAAATAATTTTACCTCACACATATATATATTGATTTAATATAAATATTCAGTCAGAATCGAAAAGTATTAGAAGATGGAAACGTTTGACTTTATCTAAATCGAACTTTTTGAAGTTACATAAACCTACCAAATTCTCATCAATTAAAAAAAAATCATTTTTTTATGTCTATAATTTCTTTGTTATGCATTTTTCAACTAAATATAATAAATCAAGAGTCTAAATAAATTATACTTTATATTTATTATGATTTTTCTTAGTGATCATGAAATAAATTTAAACGACACTTATTTTGAGACGAAAAAAATTGATACAATATATTTTAACGTGATCTTAAAAAGGACCACTTACTAGTACACGTGTGTGGTCCTTGCCTAACTCCAAACAAAAAATAGTACTAATTTTCGATCAATCGATTATTAGTTTTTGAAATATTGCAATTTAAATATATAATTACTTATTTATACAATTACTTTCAACACTTAATACTTATCAGCTATTTTTGATCGATGACTTATTATCAATTTTGGAATCTCACAATTTAAACATGTAATGACTTATTTATATAATCAATCTCGATACTTATATTAAAAAATAATAATCATTTTCTTCATTATGTTTCTTTGTTTGTTATGCAATTTTCAACTAAATTAGTAAAACAAAGAAACAAGTCAAATAAAATACTTCTAAAAGTCATACATTGGAAGACATTTTATTTTTGTCTAGGAACATTAAATACTTTAGATCAATGAAACATATTCATCTATATAAATTTGAGATTAACTAATAAATTATTTTAACCAGATGTCTCAGGTCTAAGTCTTTCTGGATACAAAATCGCGTTTTATAGGGAGCATATTGGACATTCCAACTTGTATTTGAATTTAGTCTGACTTTAATATGAAACAAAAAAAAGAATTAACAAATTATTATTTTTTTGTCTCGACTAATAGTTTTGATTCAATTGTAGTATACTACATTAGATAAAAATTACCTTTATTTTATCGAACTTAACGAATGATATATTTAAATCTACGAGATAGTATAAAGGTCTATTCAAACTCAAAATTGGTTGTTAAGAAAACTTGTTACATTAGACTACATCAATTAAAGTTTTCACCAACTTAAATGAAAAATGAAAAAAAAAAAGTTGGTAAACTTCTAATTACAAACAACTTTTTTCTTTAATTGTGTTGTTAATTAAATTAAATACTCTTTATATGCTACAAACATATAGATTGGTCAAAGTATTAAATTTAGTGGGTTAACCGATGCTAGAGACAGGAGAGAATATGTGATACCTACTCTGTATAGAGAGGTCATACATATTAAGTCGATCTCGAAGATTATACCAGAGTGATAAGTCTTTTTTCTTTATATATATAGAGAGGTCAGATATATAACATCGACTTTTAAGGTTGTGACAGAATGATAAATTTCTTTTTTTTTATTAAATTTTTTTGTATTTGAGCCTTGAGTGTAGTGTTATCTTTGAAAGTAAATAGATTTACCCTAAAAGCATATGACAAAAAAAAATTAAATTCATTAAACTCAAAAATAAATATCGAACACCGAACGAGAACTCCTTACACCCGAAAACACCTTTTTCCAAGTCATTTGCGTGTACAACAAGGGTATAAAGACAATGAAATTTCCATGTCTAAGTAGGAAGAAATTAAAATAGTCTAATAATTGTTTGATCAAATAAAAGATTCTTCTTGGTAATTAGGGTGCAATACATTTAACTTTTTCCATTAATTATCTTATTATTCGATTAATTTAAATTTGCATTTAACTATTAAAAGAATAAAACAGTCTTCAATAGGATGTTTTCTATTTTCAAATTTCAAATTCAACACTCGTGTTTAAGGGTGAAGAAGCATAAACCATTTAGCCTGAACAGTTAATAATCTCTTGATATAAAAATTGTTGAATTCAATCACTTATTATATGTCGTTTCTCTTTAAATCAATTTTATTAATGTATTTATTAAATTAAATCAACGATCGATTTCTAGATTTCGTCTAATAGATGTATGGGCAAATCATTTGAGTATTATGAAATGGAATCTAAAACTAGATACCCATAATTTAGTGTACTTTATATTATATTTTGTATATATCACCTATAGATTTTTGTAAAAAAGTTAGAAAACCTTGGACTTTGTTCTGTCAGTGTTCTTTCCCAAAAAACTAAATTTTTTAACTACTTATATGAAAAAGCCCCCCCACCCCACCCAACCACCATATCAGAGCCACCAGTCCATCACATGTCAATTATATTCTCGATTAGTTTACACGTAACTTAATTAATTTTATAA